CTTTCCCCCGCCTCTCCCTCTCCCCTGTCCCCACTGGAACCATCGGTCCTGTTGTTTTCTCCTCCAGACTGTTCATCCAGCCTATCTTATCTAGATAGATCTGCAGAGACAAAATGACAAAAGAGAACACAATGATGACAACAAAAAAAACAATGACCAAGAAAATAATAAATTAAAGAAAAGAAAAAGAAAAAAATTTTTTTAAAGAAAGAAAAACCTGTAAATAGATGATGGTCTGATTTTTGACCTCTAGGCATGCCCTCCAGTCAAGTCCAATGGGGTGCCATGCTCTGGCCCCAAAGTCTATCCTTTGCACTCCCTCAGGAGCTCCCTGCTCTGCTCCCCCCATTGCCCTGCCACACGTCTTTAGTGTTTTGCCTGTGTGGTGGGGTCAGACCGGGCCAATCTGGACACCGAGTCTCCAGTGTTGTCCCCCATAGCGCCGTGGGTCAGCAAGGGACGTTGTGTGTCATAGTGGGTTCAGCCATATAGCCCCCAAGATTCTTAAGAATGTTAGAAAACACAGGGCTTTGATCCGACTCATTGCCCCAGCAGATGATACAGTGACACCCAAGGGTTTTGAACCATTTCAAATACAGATGGTGGGGGAATAAAACCCAAACACACAAAATAAAAATCCATTTGTGTTCAGAAACGGATTGAGGAACTGAGTAAAAGCCAGTGGGAAATTGGGAGGTGCTCGACGCGATAGGCAGAGTGCCACCAAAGTGAAGAGCCAAAGAATGGAAGTGATGCAAATCCACAGAGGCCGTGTTGTCCATTTTAAGCAATATATAGGTGGACATATATTTGATTTCAATATATCTGAAAACTTAAAAAATATATATGGCCTATTTGAGAGAGACTGAGCCTGAGAGGTTGCTACAAAGGAAAAACAGCTTGCCACACTTGCCACAGGTACATATGCCTCATGAGGCCCAAAGGCTAATGGAAAGAGGAGAGGGATTCGGGGAGGGATCCGTTAAAAGTCAAGGATAAAGCTTGAAAACTGAGGTTGGCCTCATGTTTGAGAAGAGAGCCAATGAAAAGGAACTGAGAGACCAAGGCAAAACGAATTCCAGATTCCCCCCCCCCATCTGAAGATGACAAAGTATGAAGTGGGCTACCCAGCAAAGTATCTCTGAAAAGCAACCCCCCGGTAGCCTTTGAAAAGAGTAAGAGGGAAGGCAGTACTCTTTCTGAACACCGGCAGCCGCACGCAGGGAGGTCTAGCAGGTAGCCTAACAAGGTAGCCATCCGTCCTTTTTCTAGTTAGCCTATAAAGTGTTGCATTTCATGCGTTTTTGATGCACATGAATTCAAGGGCTGAGCCATGCCAATGGGGGAATGAGTGTTGGATCAGTCTGGAAAGCAAAAGCCACACGATGCATTTCAAAGTGAGGCTTTAAAACACGAAAGACGTTGGAAGGCAAAAAAGGAGGATGAGGTAAACTCGCAATTAGTAACTTTAGGAAGTAGCTAGTTCCCTGTGCCTGAGGGGTATGACAGCTAGGAAGTGATGGTCCCACCTTGCAGAAGAGCAGAGCTAGGCTTTTGGAGCTAGGGTTTGAGAAGGGGTCCTGAACATCCCTCTGGTCATTGCCAGAAGAACAAAGAGCCAGGGGTGGAGAAGGAGAGGCAAAGGGAACGTACTGGGTTGGGAGGGGGGAGAACACAAGACCACCCCCTGCCCTTTGGACCACCTCTCCTCTCCCTGCCCAGTGTCTACTATTAATAGGAAGGCAACTGACAACAGATTTAAGAAACCTAGTTTCAGGTTCCCAGCCCTGTGTGGAACCAAGGGTGGGCGGGTAGGTGAGAGGCCATAGGTAACTAGACAGCACTGTACTCCTCCTTAGGAAGCCAGTGGAGAATTGCAGTAGCGGTCCCCATTGACTTAGAAGAATTGGATAGGAGTCCCATTTAGAGGAGATCTTCGCTGCTTTCGGTACCACACACACATATGCAGACATATCCTCATGGAGGTCGGTAGTATGTGAACATGGGTAATCTCTGGGATGCAGCTTTAAGAAACATATTTGGGGGCAGAGGGATGTATCTTGAACTGCTCTGGCCAGTGCATACATGCAGAGAGAATGTACAACTGACAGCATGCGAGGTGATAATCAGATGAAATGTGCCATAAAACCGGTTACAATATTGAAAGCTGTACTATTTGGTTAAAAAAAATGCCCCCAACCCCCCAGCCCAATAAACCCCAGCCCTCCAAAAACAAACCTTGCCCTCAGCTCTCCCAACTGCTCTCTGGTCCGCCTGGCCCAGGAGATTCAAGAGTGGGCATTGAAACGGGATGTCCCAGTGTTGAACCATCTTCCAGCCACAGCAGTGGGACCTGCCAGTTTCCGATCGACTGCTGCAGCCCTGTGGAGCACAGGCGGGCAGGCAGCTCCCACCCCCACATATTGGCCTCCATCTTGATTGTTTGCCTGGCCAGAGCAGACTCCCTGTCACTGTCTCTCACCCCCCAGGTTTGGTCTGCCCTTCTTGAAGGTTCTTCATCTTTGGAGATAATAGGTTTTCTGGCATTTTGTGATAGGTGTCCACGTTAGAATTTCCAAGAAAATTCCCTTGAATTGGATGATCTGGACAGCTGTTCCTAGCAAATGAACAGCCCCAATTAGTTCCCCAAAAGTCATTCAATTGAAAAGTCTGGAGATGAAATTGATTGAAATCTACGTCAACTTGACCTGGATTTCAACGTATCTGAAAGGAAAGCAGCCTTTGGGCCCATTATTATTCCTTGCAGGGTTTAAACCATTTTGTTTTAAAGATTGCAAGTTGTTGCAAAACATTCAAGAAGCATCCATTCTTGCTATCTATACAACAAGCAGAACTTTCTAAATGATGGCTGGGTTGCATAGTTTTTTCTTCCTCAAGTTTTTATTGAAATATTTGAAATTATCAAAAATATTGTCACATGGCAGGAAACTTGTGAGACAGATAAAAGGAATGAAAAAGTTCCTATAATATTAGTTTCAGGACATAATAGCATCTACTTTCATTGTAGTTTCTTATGTTGCCTTTCTGTAAGTAATTTTGCATACCCATAATGCTTTATATAATTTTGTATGCTGATTTTATATTTAGCACAGTTTGATCAGTCATAGTCTTCATTACCATTATTTTTCCACTTGTGTAGCATTTCATTAAGTACCAGAATGCATCTGTTCACTGCTTCTGTTGCCATCCCCATTTTTTTTTAATTAATCAATTTATTGGGGCTCATACAATTCATCACAATACATAGATCAATTGTGTAAAGCACATCTATACATTTGTTGCCCTCATCATTCCCAAAATTGCCATCCCCATTTCTTCTCCTCTTTCCCTTTCTTCTTAATGTTGAATCACCAGTTTTCTTAACTAGAATCAATGGAAATAATATTGATGTAGGCGCTAAAGATTTGGACCATGTGATTTTGCCAAATCTCATCCCATTCCTAAACTACTATAATCTACTGGTCCCTTCCCCAACACGGGTCTCCGAGAGAAAAATAAAATATATCTCTTATTACCCATTTTCGGGAGTCCTCGTGGCAGAGTGACTAAGTGCTTTACTATTAACCGAAAGGTCGAACTTTCAGTTGCCTTAAAAAGATTATAGCCTAGAAAACTATGGGGGAAGTCCTATGCTGTCTCATGGGGTTCACTGCGAGTGGGAATCAAGTCAGTGGTACCTAACAACAGCAATAACAACTTTCATTACCTGTTTTTTCCCCATACCATATATACTCGTGTATAAGCCGAGTTTTTCAGCACATTTTTAAAGCAGTTTTTGTGGTAAAATTAGGTGCCTTGGCTGACATTCGGGTTGGCTGGTATTTGAGTATATACGGTAACTGGATTTGATTAATTACAAGTTAGCAAACTATCAATTGAATAATTAAAGCCATTTAGAAAATGCTCCTCTAATCATAGATAAGCTGTTGACAAAATGTAATTTACTCTTCTATGTTTTGCTCCCTCTAATTATTTTCATGGCTGTGGTAGAAACTTATTTATCTAAAGTACTTACATGTTTAGATTTGAGACTCTTCTTTTTTTATAAGATCAAAGTTGATTAGTAGCTCCTAGGAGTGGGAAGAAGGGGAACTAGATAGTGTTGATGCTTTTCTTTATGAACTACTTGGATAGCTTTTTGTTGAATGCCCCTAGACCAAGCTGAATGTCCAATTTTGCATAGGGAACAGGAAAGCAATGTAGTTAGCAAACTCTTTTAAAGGTAACAATGATCACTGATATTACTATTTCCCCCACCCCGCAAAGTTAATCATTTTGAAGGAGATTCCTGTGGGAGACTTGTCCAGAAATGTTCTGAACCCAAGGACACAATCTTAATTTTCTATGAGTTAAAATTATATTCTGAAAGTTCTGGCAGAACTATCATGGGAACAAAAGCTGAAAAAGCCTTTTCTGGTTGAACAATGGACACACCTTTTAAAACTGTCATCCAGATTGCAAATGAAGGTTGCTTCCTCAGCCACGATGCGTACTGTTTCTTTTGAGGGTAAGATAACTGCTATGGTGAAATGCAATTAGTTGCAAGATCAAGATTTCCTTTTATTATGAAGCAGCATAAACATATGGGAAAGTATGTAATACAATATTTTCAACACCTGCAGCTTTAACAAATATTAAACATATTGCTATGATAAATTTATACTTGGACACACACATTTTAAATGAAGAAAGCAGATGTATTTGAAATTCCTGTGTAAACATCCTTGATCTAAGCCCCTGCTGCCCAGCCTACTTCTTCTCTAGATAGAAACACTATCCTGAATGCAGAGTTTATAATTTCCATGTATTTCTTTATATCTTTATTACACAGGCATGTATTGTCTAGTATTGCTACACATATTGTAAAACTTTAAATGATCTCGTATGCATGCCTTGCCTTATTCACTCAGTATTGCTTCTGAGATGATTTCATTTTCATGCATACAGACGATTCATTGAAATTGCTGTATGGTTTTCCATTCTTTGAATATGCCAGGTATGATGTATCAGTCTCCCTCCCACCCCACCAGGGGCTTTCGGGAAGGACAATTTAAAGTCGTATCTATATACTTGTTGGACGAAACAGAACCTCAAGGATGCCAGGAATGGATCATTTCATTTCTGCCTTTCTCCCTTACCACTTTAGTGACTTTATCCCTTTCTCTAGATTTTGACCTGGCCCACAAGGTTATTAACATGAATAATAAGCACCCAATGGATGGTAGGAAGGAGGTAAACAGGAGGCAGACATTGGTAACAGCCAAGTCTCTGTCAAGTTGTATGTAGCTAGCTGTTCATATCTAAAATGCACTGCCTATGTATTTCATATCCATACATTTGTTCTATTTTAATTTTTAACTTAAAAATAATATCTTGGGGTTTAAAGCTACAAAAAATGTATAGCTAATCAGAATTTGGTTGCTCTTGGACAGTCACATTTGTGTTTTGAAATTTTTATTTGCCACAGTGACCCATTTTATTATTTTTAATAATTTTGGGGGGGCTCATACAACTCTATCACATTCCATACATCCATCCATTGTGTCAAGTGCATTTGTACATTTGTTGCCATCATTCTCAAAACATTTTCTTTCTACTTGAACCCTTGGTATCAGCTCCTCGTTTTTCCCCTTCCTTCCCCGCTCACCCTTCCCTCATGAACCCTTGATAATTTATAAATTATTATTATTATTTCGTCATATCTTAAATTGTATGACATGTCCCTTCACCCACTTTGCTGTTGTCCATCCCCCAGGGAGGAGGTTATATGTAGATCATTGTAATTGGTTCCCCCTTTGGTGACCTATTTTAAAATGAATTCATTAGAGATTATTGTGAACCCTTGCTTGGACTGTAACATGGATATAATGTATGATTTCTAGGTTAAATATTCCTATTCCTATAACTGGAGTACCTACAGAATGGAAACTGCCTGCCATTCTCCTATAAAAAAGAAAAGAAACTTAATAATCAATGGTCTCTTTCCTTATTTTAATAGACATTATTGCTGTGTGAGTTATCAACATTCTATATCTCATCTAGGATTTATTTGCTGGTGTCATTTCATGAATTTTGAGTGACCACAGCCTCTTTGAGGGTCCACAGATCTATCCCGTCAATTAGTGAACTCTTCTGGTGAATCCTTGTGCATTGGAGGGAAAGAAGTCTCGGAGCCACTTCCCTTTTCCTTCCTTTAGGAGCAAATGCGGATGCAAATTGGGTTTTAACAGTTGATGAAATCTTCATCTAATAAAATGAGGTTTCAGCTGATGAAACGGACTGTTATTAGAAGGACCTCTGTGACAAATAAAGTACAGATTTTAGAAAAGATCAAAGATTCATGAGAGCCCAGAAATTTCCAAACCCGAGATAATATGTTCAGTAAAGGTTAAAGTAGATTTTTCAATTATAAAGTAAATGAAACACATTATACATTACTGCAGCTTTTCATTTTCTGCTGTGATTCAGAAATGACCATATTGATTTTTGAGCTTTTTCTTTTAAAAGAAAATTGGTGAGATTAAATTGCATGGCTTGGTGAATGCTGAGTTAAATAGTAATGGTAACAGCCGAGATGCTGTGCAGGGCAACCCTTTCTGGCTGGCCTCTCAATGGTACACTGGATTCATATTTCAGAGCCAACTCTTATCTTCACTTAGAACAATGATGCTATGGTTTGTTTCATTCAGATCAAGTTTTCGGAATCTGACTACTTTGGCAACGTCCTGCAAACCCGCAAGTATTTAGCACAGTCTGATTTCTTCTGGCTCAGAAAAGCAGTTCCCAAGACTGAGTGAGTAAAACAGAAACAGACAAACAAAACCCAAAGTGACATGGATATAAATATGTTGGTGGGGCGTGGAATTTCTTTGGATCAAACTTTGTAATTCCCCTCAAGTCAGAGTAGTCGGCGTGCCAGTTATCTTGGTTTGGCAAAGTCTGTGTTATGTTTTGACAAGTCTTATTTCAGATATGATGTGATTCAGATCTTCAGTCTAATTATGGGTTCCACACTCTTAACATCAATGTATTTGAGAGAGAGAAAGAGAGATGATTATGAAGCAAACATTCACATTATTGCCAGATGTAATAATTCACATTATTGCCAGTTCTGAATAATAGAAAAAGACATTTCACACTGAGGTAGACACTTGGAAGATCCTAAAAAAGAACACCCACCCACTGCTGTCAACTGCATTCCGAAACATAGTGGCCGCATAGGACAGAACAGAATTATTTTCCTACGCTGGAAATCTTTATGGAAGCAGACGGCCTCATTTTTCTCCTGCAGACAAAAAGAAAGAAGCCTTTTAAAACTAGGATGTGACATCATTATGATTCTTAAGCTACTCCGAGATATTTGTTGAGGTCATCAGTGTCCCCCAGTGGACAGCTATGTCATTTTCACCCAAAGGCAGTTACCAAGTATTCAGCCCCCCACTTCCTAGCTTCACTGTGGGAGATTTTCTTACCAGGTATTAGGGTGGTCTTTATTTCTTCCCCTAGCAAATAGTATACGAGGAGGGGGATGATGGCGATAACGTTATTAGGCGTTTACAATGTACCAGATGCTGTTTTAAGTGCTTTACATGTTTTAATTAATTGTATCCTCATGTCAGTCCTCTGATGGGTAGGTGCCCTGATCTTTTACAATGGATCCCACTGCCGACCAGTTAGTCCCAACTCATAGTGACTCGATATAAGGTTCCCGAGGGTGTAGACCTTTATGGAGTGGCCAGTGTCATCATTCTCCCACGGAGCAGCTGATGCCTTTGAACCCTGCTGACTTGTCCAGTTAGCAGCCCGGCACCTGACTCACCAGGTCACCAGGGAAAGAATAAAAAGCCTGAAATGGAGATGTTTTGCACCTGCCCTTTCTTCTGCCTGTGAATGGTACTTTTAAATCTGGGGATTTAACTTTGTTCCACTGGGACCCACTTCTCGAATGTGTTTTTCCTTGCTGTTCTCCCAGTTGTTTTATTGATTGGCCTTCCTATTCATGGAAGGATTTCTTTGCCATCGCAAATTTGCTGTTGCGCCCATCTAGCGATTTTTCCCCAATTTGAGTATAACATGTTTTTTAGCCAGAAGTGCCATTCGTTTCATGTTTCTAGTTAGAATCTCTGTTGCAATTCTTGCTAAGTTGAGTTATTGTTGTTGTCTTTTAGTTCTTTGAACATATTTTTATATCTGAATGAATTTATGGTGGCTGTTTTGAAGTCTTTGCTAAATCAAAAATCTGGGCCTGCTCCAAGACAGTATACAATTACTTTTAAAAATAATTTTTCTTCGTACAATTTACATATTTTTGTTGAACACTGGACCTTAGAAAATAGGCTGCCACAGTAACTCTTAGTTCTGATCTACTTTCCTGAGGCTTTCCAAAAAAGCCAGCTGTCTGGATTGATTTCCTAAGCACTATGTGGCTACTGAGGTCTCTGCTCAGTTGCTAACTTCTTATGCTCACTTTGTAAACTGGTTTCCTGGGGGCTACCCCGCTGTCTGCATAACTTCAGGTCCAGCCAGTCATTAGGGCAGAGATTGTGATCAAAGGAGCTGGCTTCTGCCCTCCACCAGTGATCTGTGTGAAGGGATTGAGGAGAGTGCTTAAGTTTGCCTTGGTTCTCACTGCCGAGGGGGTTTCTCAGGTCTCCTTTGTTTGCCTCAGTTCTCCAGCTAGCCAGCCAAGGAGGAGGCAAGGGAAAGGAGCAGTGAGCAAACAACGCCACAGACAGGGAAACAACTAGGGAATTAAAAGCAGCAATGAGGAGGACGTAGAGATTCTGCTTTCTTTTCAATTGAGGTGCTGCCTCTGTTTTGTCTAGTCATTGCTGTTTTGTTGTGGTCGGGGTTGTGCACTTCCTGTTTAGGTTCTATATGGGTTTTT